ATTTTAGATCGAAAGTTCCGAATGAACAACCCATGCTACCAAAATTTCAAATCTCTATGAATAGTGAAACCTGAGAAAGTTGTAACGAACCAGTTACGTGAGACACCCTGTATAAAGTCCAGAAAGTTATTAGTATTAAAATCGTAAATCCTGTCAGAGAGAAACCCTGGTCATCAAATAATGACAAGGGTTTCCAAGGGATATCCAATGTTGCCACAACCACGTGTTTGCTTTTTACATAAAAACATAAAATAAATGGATGTCAATAAGCAAATGTTAAGATCTTGAAATCAATAAAGAAGTGTCCAAAATAGGAGATGTAAATGGAAAACATTGATTACCAAATTGATATGTTTATGTAACAACCTAAAAGAGGCAGAGTGCTTCACAACTGCCAATTATACAGTATTTCAAAAGTTGTTATAATGCTACTATTATATTCCCAAAGCTCTTTTTATGTTAGAACTTAAAAATCTTGTTGTTGTAAAAATCCCTAAGTGTTGAAAAGAGTTTACGTTATCGATAATGTGACGTTGTTTCGATGTTGTAACCATTGTGTAACCACTACTAATCATGAACTGAAAACAATTCAAAATCACTCTTTCTGTAGCTATAATCCGAGGTCATTTTTACAAATGTACATACTAAATCCTATGAATCTGATGGATTTATTCATTGATTAGATAATAGGAAAGACATCGGGGTAGTGATTGGGGGCATAGCAGAAAAACAACGGCAAACTTAATATGTCGTATAAAAACATTTAAAACTTTTATCCATTCTCTATCGTTTGTTCAAAGTCAATCACAACAATTTTTGTTTCATCACTATCTTTGTATCGCCTTCCTTAAAGAGTTAAACATGCAAGGCTTAAATGTAATAAGTCTTTAACGTACTCCGAAATTTAACCGATCTCAGTCATCTTAAAAAAGATATAACCAAAATATATTATCATACAGTGTCATCACCAACATCGGGTTTTGTCACTGAATTGATTTCCCCAGAAAACAAGAAGATTGGTCATTTTGTAAAATTAATTTATATTTATTTTGCCGTAAAGATGCCGAAATCTGTTACAATGCAAGCATAACTTGTTTTTCTAGAGTTGCCGTATTATTTGTTACAATTGAAATATGTTGGCCTTTGCTGTATTGGACTACAAGTCAATACATGGTCTAACACTTACGCATGGATATCCATGCTTTGTAAAAAATTCTCTGGAAATGTGTTGGTCTTATATTGGTGTTAATAGTCTTTGTATCTCATAACCAATTACGTCTAGAATTCTTTGAAAAACTTTCGATATCCCTATCAGGCATCAAGCAGGTTTTTAATTGTAAGACTGCTAATCATTCCATTCTGCAAACTTCCATCTCCAGGCCTAAAGCACAAGCATCATGTGTATTCAGTAAAGATTCAGCATCTTCCATAGAGTTGCAAGATTTAGAGATTTGTTAAGAATTGGAAAAAGTAAAAATGGTTCTGTATAATTTTTTAATGACATTGCGTAAGAGGTAAATATCAAATAACCCTTTAAAATTTATAGTTGTAGACGGAAAATCAAAAACGACTATATCGGTTCGCATCAGGTGAGCGTGTCGAGAAAACAATAGACCCGATTTGCAAACAAACGCAAATCGACTATTAATCGCCGACAATTGATAGAAATTAAATATTCATCTGACCTAAAAGTGCGCGGACAAACACTGAATAATAGCTCGTTTAAGTCTATTTTAATTATTCATAATTGCGCCGACAGAGTGGAATACAATGACTTGATGAATCGGCGTATTTGTCTTTCCTTTATTTTTTTTATTTTCCTTCCGAAGTTTAACAAACAATGGACGGATTAATTTACTAAATTAGCGCCATCATCAAGCGTCAGCATGAGTCCTTTTTTTTTCTTTCATCCTATTTCGCTTATCGTTTAAGTGGATCTCTTCATTCCAAAGCCATTACAATCTGGAATAACTACTAAACTCTATTAAATAAAAAAATCTTTCGTGTTTAATAACGTTTTTAAATTACACAATGTTCTCTTCCTGAACGTTGGGTATATGAGAATTCAATGTTTAACGTTGAATTTCTATCGGTATGGTTTATGATGTCACATAAAAACGGAAATTGCTGGTAAATTGTTATACCATCCCACTCCTAAATATATAATATATTTTCGCGTTTCGAGTAACGACCAATAAAATAAATTATGAGGGATGTTTATGTATCCGCGTGGCCAGACATATGTTGCACAGTTTACTGCCACTTTATGGCGCACTTATGACAATTTTACCACATCGGACGAACCTTTTAAAATGAAGAATCATCTTTTCGCCCTTTTTATACGAGAAATAGATTTAACAAAAATATCCGAAACATTATTTTTAAATTTCAAATTTAATAACATCGACGAACTTATCGCTGATTTGATTTTAACGAATATAAATCTAGATGATTTCTATTCCCAAAGCGTGAAAGTAAACGTTCCCATGAGAAAATACGAAATTTTTTACTACAATCGAAAAATCGTGTTCGTTTTCGTGAGATATTATCCCAGTTTCTTATTGTTTTGTTAAATTTGATATTCTTCCGTAATCGATAATTTGACTGACAAGACAAAAGCACATTGCTTTGACGTTACCTACAGTGTGAGACTGACACATCACATTGAATGACTCAATTTAAATTATTCATATCCGCTTGATTCAGCTAGATGGTCAAAAATGAATGTAAGTTTTGTTGAGTACTTCTTCAACCACACTGTCTTCATTTTCTACTTCAAGTACCACATTTTTGATTTATCAGTTAGTAATAGGTTCTAAATAAACTATCAAAATGTGGAATGTGTTGAATCATAAATAAAAGATCCAGCAAAACCAGCAGTTATTTGTATGGATTATTGAATTCTGCCAAACCACGGGTACAAGTAAAACTAATCTTTCGTTTTACTTTAGTACTTTAGATTACAGATTGTTTTGCGATTTTTGCAGCATAACTGAACAAGAGTTACAACATATTTAAAGCCCATATATACTATCTAAGTGCTTTTGCAACCCCATTGTTGCTTTTTGAAATGTTCTGAGCTCATTATCAGCTTGTACGTAGCTCTAGTGTTAGTTCTAGTACTAGTGTTAGTTCTACTTTTAGTTATTACACAAATATCTGAGGTTGTAATGTAAATGAGCTATGTTACATGGATTCCCCATCTTTTTCAAAAGGTGATGTATAAACATAGTCTTATAAGTTAACCAAGTTAATTGCAAAAATAGTTACAATAAAATTGTATGAATTTATTGTTACAATTTTCATCAATGACAATCTAAGAAACTTAAATATTTTGTCTAAACTCGTAGAGATGATTTAAGAAGTGTAACATCTGGACGTCGTCCGGATGAAGCAGCACATGTTCGTCTCGAAAAGAGGCGACGTTCTACGGGTACATAATAATTTAATTGCCCGATTCGCATGGAATAACTTTGAAACCGACTGTTCCACAACCATAAACTGAATGGCTCCATTGCGTCTTCACTTAGTGTTGTCAAGAGATGAATGTCAAGATTTTTCTGCTATGTAGACGGGACACTCGGAATCTTTGGAATTTGCATCTCGTTGCAACGCACATGGTTTTGAACACTCACTCTGGATGGTTAATTAATGAGAAATGACTTCTTAATCTAAAATTAGTGTATTAAATCGTAATGTTTTTTAAATTTAAATGGATAAGAAAGATTTTTTGTCATCCCCTTTATAATAAATGCATGTACGTTTCGGTACAGACAGCATCACTTACAAAGATGACATTCCCCCTTTCATTCCATTTCATTCACGCTACTACGTGTTCAAAGTCGAATGCCATTTTTAACGTTTAACCACCGTTACAATTTATTAATGTACACGACACGTCGCCGTTTAAAATGTGCTCAAGTATGCCTTTGACATCCCCCTTTTCGACACGAACTAAACGTTGCCGTTCGGGGTTTCCTCCTCGTATTCCCTTTTTTTCCTTCTGTTACATTTTTCACGTCTCATTATGTGACATTTACAAATGAACATGTAGACAGTTGAACTCTTTTCAACAAAGTTGTATTTTTAACACCTTTGTTTTTTCGGTAGTGTTTGATATCGAAAAGTTCTAAAATTAACTTTAAATTTCAGTAATAATTAATATTAATTATATTTATTTAATAATTTTTAATGTTACAGTGACATCTATGTTATGATATATGAACTTTATTGCGGTTGTGGTATTAAAGGAATCGTTTTTATAATTGATCGCAACCCAAATAACACGAAAGTAAAATATGTTTCAGCCCATTCTTTTATTAAAATCATTATGCCAATTATTACATAAAACCTTGCGAAAGGACACAAAGGTAACGAAATCGATCGAAAAGTGAAAGTAATTTTTATTAAGTGAATTAAATCTCTTGCGACATTTAGTGAACGTTCACAACACCACACGTTTGTTGATTTCGTTCACCCAAATGTTCTAATTACATGCATGTTGCCGTAATTGATTTTAATATGCTTTACTTTATTGTTTACAATGATGACTGTGTATTTATTTAAAGATTTCGATAAGAAGTCGATGTTGTATAGGAGTCGATGCTTTCCATAGAGTTGATTACTCACGATCCAGTTGATAAACAAATATGCAAAAGCAAGCTTGTTTAAAGTATTAATCAGAGACGGATTATATATTTTTTTAATGTATAAGAAAATAAAATGTAAATAAATATAGAAATTATATTGAGATTCGTTTAAAATAAATTAATCTTAAAAATATTTTTAGAATCTGCCTTAAGGTGGCGCAACTAATTTTTTAAATTAAATATAAACGTCATTATTTACTTTCATATATACATACAAATATAAGCTTTTGTTATTGAATTAATCATAGAGAATTATGAATAAAATTTGAATTAAAAATCTCACAATTAATCCGGATCTGTTTTTTATAAGGTTGAAAAAAGTTTGCTGTAATACCGACACGTATCCGTCAATGTCATCTGTCTAGTATCACGTTTACCAAAACACACATCGCTCGTCGTCTCCGGTAGCAAAACCCCCTTCAAAATCCCAGTAAAACCGAAAGGACAGCCACCGACAGTGCAATGAAATGTCGTTACGCGCCAAAATATTAAGCTTCGGCGAAATCCTTCTACGAGTGCCGTCGTTATTTGTTATCGACGAGATTCTGAAGATCAGTCTGGGCCTCCCCAACCGGTCGGACTTCGCAGGCTACGAAGAAAGTTTCGATTATTTTGAGGAGAAGGTCCAGAACATAACAGCCCTTGATTACGACCCGAATTTTAAATGGTTCTTGTTGGCTTCATTGTACAGGCTACTTATCAGCACATCAGGTTAGTTTAAATGACCTCTGAATAATCTGTTTAAATATTAAAGCAATGAAGTGAAATGTGGAAATTGTATCTATTGGATTGCGTAAGAGATTTTTGTTATAATATCTTTCAATAAGTTATCTATTGCAATTTGTCATAATTTACAGAAATCTGTATTTGGATAATATGTAATGTAAGTTTTTGGTGTAGATAATTAAGTTATTGATGGTTCAAGATTATTTATTTTTATTATTTTATATGCTGTTTATTTTTATTTTGCACATAAAACTTCTAAACAATTTATTTTAGTTACAGGTACAAAATTTCCAATTGTTTTCTTAGATGATTTTGAAGAAAAGAACATGTATTAATGAATTTTAAAGTTATTCTTTAGGAAGATATATCCTTTTGAAATAATAATGTTGAAATTCATTGTTGATAAATTTTATCTGTTTGGTTGCTGATTGTATCTTATAAAAATTGATATATTTTTTTTTGTAAGAGTTAAGTAGCTATTATAAACAGAATTTTACATAAAGCTGGAAATATATATTTATTTTACGTCACAATGATTAAAGGTATCAATGCCGCAAATCTATAAATCAAATCCAACAAAAATATATTTATCATTAACCTTCCAATACATGCGCTTATACAAAGGCAGATTGTGAGTCCGCAATTGTCAATAGATACGATCGACGCGCAAAAGATGGCGCTGCGTATAGCTGTGCGTCTCTTAGACGGCTAAACCCGAATGTTTTTAGGTCTAGTGTTAGTTCTACTTTTATTTCAACAAAAATATACAATCTAGCAATGAATAACAATTAAAACTTACACTAGAACTAGAAAGTTTCGGGTTTAGCCGTTCGTCTTCAGCCTTTAGAAGATTATCTGTAGCATACTGCAAGTTCGCTAAGGATCAAACATTAAAATTCAGAGTAAAAGAACAAATCAACTGAGAATGCTGTTAACACTTGACACAAGTGCAAAAGACTCAGGCTGTAAATACATCTGATGTGTGACTTTTCATTAACATATCAAGTGCTTTTGCAAACTATATCACATGATGATATTCTTTTCTAAATTTGAAAAATCTTTGCACAGCTGAGAATCACAAAAATTTCTTGATTGACTAATAATTGCTATAACTCGTCTTGGGTTTGAATCGACTAGCCTCAAATTGGATCGTCTAGAATGCGCCACTCTGAGGATAGCTAGCCATAGTCGTTAGCCTCAAATAACATAGCGTTAAATTGGCTCTACTTCTTAAGGTCTTAGTAATACAATCAGTTATTACAAATTGTAATACAAACTTATTATTTTTTTAAAATTTACAATTTTTTAATTATACATTCAGTGAAATTTTTGAATATAGCAGTTTTCAATTTGAATACAATATCCCATTAAATATTTAAAATTTTGCGATAATATTCAGTTTTTAAATCGATTTTTTTATGAAAAATAGAATTTCTAAAACTATAACGTTTTACTCTCCAATTATGATACAATTATCACATTAAACAGATTAATTCATGTTTTTATAACCTTTGGAATTGTTTTTATACTTCGACTCTGCCAAAACGGCATAAACGACATTTGTTTGATTTTCCAGGAAATATAAAAAAATTTCATCACGTCGTAATGAATTTATAGGTATTTGCGCAAACTTTAAACCAATAGTTTAAAAGTGATCATTTTGGCACTTTGGCAGCGTCGACTTTATTAAAACATGTTTTAATAACTATATTTTTTGTTGCAGTATGTGCCGTCGCAATATGTCTTTTTGTCTTAAGTACCAAACACTTAATGATCGTCTACATGTACCTGATGTCCGTTGGAGTAGTTTTTATTTCTTACTGGAGCAATATGTCAACGATGAAACAAGTAATTGCGCTTTACCCAGAAGGGCAGATGAATCCGAGTATTTTAGACGACATCCTCCTCTTGGATTTTGACAATTTGCTACAGCTTTATGGTGGAGCTTTCACAGTTATCCTTAAAAACTACTTCGTTCAATGTATATTGACCGTAATTTTTGTTAATATCCATTTGGGACCAAGATATCATTATGTCCAAAGAAGATTTTTGCCCTTATCATTCTTGATGCCTTCAATTCTCGCCCTGTTACCTGTTCCTGCGGTCGTTTTAATGCACGCACCCGTTTTCGCGGCGTTACTTCCGCTAAGTTTGGTAAAATTTGTGCTGTGGAGTTCGCTAGTTTGTGTTATTCACACAATTTATAACGGTTATTCGCAAACGCGAACTTATGTAACCAGTTTTGGGATGTCGGCATTGATCGAATCGGAATGGATTAGATTGAACGTGCCGGGCGTTTTACGAACATTTTGGATTTTAAGGGTATTCGAACATACAGGGTTGTTTTTCATTTCCGGTTTGTGGAATGATTCGGACGGGATATTGCCGTTGTTTAGATTAATTAAATCATTAATGGTTACGGGTTGTGATACTTTAACGGCGGTTCTTGGAATTACTAGCGTCGTTTCTTATATATGCCATCACATCGGGCGTACTTTCCAATGGTTCCTTTTAACGGAGGACGAAAACGATAAATCTATCGGTACGGTTTCTGCTATTCTTTTTTACATACTCGCGCTTCAAACGGGTTTAACAGGATTAGACCCGGAAAAGCGATTTGTTAGACTTTGTCGTAATTTTTGTTTACTCTTCACCGCACTACTTCATTTCATCCATAACATTGTTAATCCGTTATTAATGAGCTTGTCCGCATCACACAACCCATCAATTAAACGACATCTACGCGCTTTGGCCGTTTGTGCTTATCTTGTGGTGTTTCCAATTTTATTGTTAATCTATCTTTGGTCGAATCACACTATTTCAACGTGGTTATTGGCCGTTTCTGCGTTTAGCATCGAAATTGTTGTCAAAGTTGCCGTTTCACTTTCGATATACTCCCTATTTTTACTGGATGCTCGTAGAGAAACGTTTTGGGAACAACTCGACGATTATGTTTACTACATCAAAGCGTTTGGAAATATGGTCGAATTCTGTTTTGGTATATTTCTATTCTTCAACGGCATTTGGATATTAGTATACGAGAGCGGAGGTAAGATACTTATACCTATTAAATATGCTTATTAAAAAGAATTGTTGAAAGTTTTTTCATGCAAATTAATTTAGTTTAAAATAAAAATAAAATACTATGACAACGCAGGGATACATAGCATAATATTATAGTATTTTATTTTTATACTAAATAAAATTTCTTTTAATGAAAATGTAAAGTGAGTTTTTAGTAGCCGTCGTTGCAGGTGCGATTCGGGCCGTCATGATGTGCATTCACGCTTACTTTAACATTTGGTGCGATGCAAAGGCAGGATGGACGGTGTTTATGAAACGTAGAACAGCCGTTAATAAAATCGATAGTTTACCCGAAGCAGACGCCGAACAACTTCGACATTTGGACGACGTTTGCGCCATTTGTTATCAGGAGATGAAATCAGCCAAGATTACACGTTGCAAACACTATTTTCATGGTGTTTGTTTACGAAAATGGTTATACGTACAAGATAAGTAAGCAAGTCCAACACGTTTTTTATTTTTTTTTGGTTAAAAATTTTTTTTTTTGATTTAGATGCCCGTTGTGTCATAATATTTTACACAGCGTTGAAGTTGAAGAGAATAAGGCTTGGAACGGCAGGCTTATACAGATTCAGGTGGCTCAAGAAGAGCTAAACCACAGGTGATAATTTTGCGTTCCCGTCTTTCTGTGATCCGATTCAGTTTTTTTTTTCCTATTTAAGAAGTGCCCACCGAGCATCCTGGGTACTGTAAAATACTTTATTTTTTTATTTGTATAGGGAATAAATAATAAGAATTATTATCTAAGTCCAGCTCTTCATTATATGATTTTAATTTCTTTATAGTAATTACTGTTAATTTTCAATTCTTTTTCTCTATTTCCAAAGAAATCTCTATTCACTCTTAAATCTAATGATTAGTTGTTATTTTTCATTCTAAAATATTTCTATGTAGAATAATTCGATTTTGTACGTCTGTGATTGTGGCCATTTTCGTTGTCTGTACACTAGACAAAGATATAATAATATAAAACGACGATAATATACATAATATATTTAATTGTTATCTAGATCCCACTTTAATGTTATAAATTATAACGCAAATGCGTGATTTTATCATTATTTTTTTTTTTCACTTTAAAAAAGATTTTGCAATCGCTCGCTGCGTTATAGTAACACGGTTATAGCAAAAGAAGTTTTATCAAGTAATTTAACACCACATTAAGAATGCTGGATAATGATAATAGCATTATATAAGTTTTTTACAATGTACATTAACGATGACTTGGTATATTAAAATGATATGAGACCAGAGTGGCACTGATAAAATATTTATTCATTAAATAAAATATTTTTAAGTTATATTTTATTATTTATGTTGTTATTGTTCCTATATTTCTAGATTAAATTTCCTCCCTTAACGGAATTATCAAAAATAATGCTTAATAATATACTCTTAAATTATTTTTAAATAGAGCAGGTGAAGGCTTTAACATACAGTGTTTTAATTAATTATCGTACCCGACGTCACCATTGCAAATATGCAACCAATATTACAGTATTGGTATTGCAATACGCTGATTTGTCAAGCTGTAACACATGTATTATGGAAAGGTTAGAATTGTAAATACACGAAACTTCTCCAAAACATTATTCCTCAATTTTATTAGTATTTGTTTCAAAACATTTTTAAGGAAAAAATTTTATAAATTAATTCACATTTAATTAAAAATCAAATCCTTATAATTCGAGAGTAAATAATAGTTAGAAACTCTGCAATTTGTTATTGTTCGAACAACAGTTAATCTGTCGGCTCTCTCAAAATTAGCTTTCACAATTTCATAATATCTACCATCACTGAAAAAAAAAAAACATTAACTTTAACCTCCCATTTTAATTGAAAATTACACTATCTTACCTTAACACTAAACTACGTAATTTAAGGCACTTTACACGTAAAGTATCGATGGCTTTTTGGCTTTTATCGGAAAATCTCAAATTTTCAGGGTCCCACCTTAATTCCAATCTCTCCAGAATTGGGCAGTTATTAGCAACGCAATCCATGAGTTGATCGACCAAAACGTTGACGCCGAGACGTTCTTGCGTACCCATAACTAAAATCCTAAAATAAAAATCCCTTAATTTCAAAAATTAATTATTTTTCGTTAGTTTACTTGAGATTTTTTAAAATAGGTAAAATGGATGTGCATAAACTATCGGTGATATGCGGCATTCCAGAAATTCCCAATCCCCACAATTGGCCTCCATATTTCGAGATGAATTTGTAAATTGCTTCTTCTGATAAGTTATCAGAACTGTCCAAATCTAACGCAATCTGAAATAAAATAAATTTATAAATAGTGAAACTCCAATACAATGGATTAACCAAGTTTCTTGGATTTCCATGTTCCGCCCAAGCTTTTAAAACGCTGTCGTTGAAACCATTTAATTGTCCCGCACTGAAAAATCGCAATCCTGGTATTCTTGTAAGTAAATCAGTTAGACATTCCGTTGATAGATCTGTAGCCGTAATATCGAATTCTTGTAAGTTACATTTTTCCCATTCAACTTGCATTAAATATTCACTTTGAAGACTTGTTCCGTTCATAAGAAGACATTGTAGTCTTCTACTTCTTTGTATTAAAGTTTTCATTGTAGAACCAGTTACTTTTGAACAGTAATTGACAGCTAAGCACTCCAACTGTATGCAATTAGAACTGAACGCATCAATATGACTGTCATCAACAAAATTGATTCCATATAAATTAATGACCCTCAAATTAGGAGTAGCCGATTTTAATTTATGCACGTTAATAACTTCGTAAATTTCTTCTTCTTCCTCTTCGACTTTTTCATATGTTCCAATTAAATGAAGTGTTTCCAAACCGTTAATAAAATTATATATTTTTCTCATAAAACCTTCCATAAAGATTACCTCCGATAGACAAATACACAAGTATTTTAACTTCGTCGGAAATGCGTTTAGCTCACTGAAATCGTGTAGTTGCATGGCTGTGGAGAAATCTAATAACATATGGGTTAAATTTGGACATTTATTAGCCAATTCGTGTAAAACTGTGTGAGTTATCAACTCAATAGGAAGTTCAATGTATCTTAGAGATGGTCCAAATCGAATGCTGATCAAAGCTAGTAGAGATTCTAAAGATCCCACGTGAAGTCCTGAAATTTCTGGACGAAGAGACACGTTTTTCCATAATTTTGTGTTGTAGGCGATTAATCGCCATTTTTTACACACACGGGCCATTTTGCAAATTTCTCGATGAGATAAGTAGCTGAATATTTCTAATAGGACTTTATCCGGCATTTTTTCTATGGTCTGAAAAAAAACCATTAATATAATTATCGAACATAACGTTTAAATTTTTGTATTGAAGCTTTTTATAATGGAAAATTAATATTTGTCTTAAATTGGTAATTAATCAGTGAATTAACCACTACATAATTTCGTTATGGATTAAACTTGGTATTTGATTTATTCTGACGTTTAGGCACATACCCAGGTTTAGGAGGTCCAATTCGTCAAAGAAAGTTCTTGTCGTTATCAGAAAAGATCTAAGACAGCAGCAGCGAAGAGAAGATCCACGCGGCGTGCTAAGAAGCACGCTAACATTGCCTGGTGCTACTACGATATCGAGTCATTAGAAGACCTATTTTTATTGCGGTCAGATGCGGTAGTTTCTACTGATCGTAGCTGGCTTCGTACAGAAATCACGTCGTTTGCAAGGCCAAGATTTAAACTTGCCCAAAAGCGCATAATATGAAAACTAAACGTTAATCCAGAAACTAGTCATAATTTCTACGGTTGTGGATCTGATCAGGAATGGTTAAGATACGTAACTATATCTGAGTGCAGAGAAAATCAAACTGGGAACCAAACGTAGAACCAACTTAATAATTTAATAAGTTTGGAGACGTAATGAAATTTGAAAATAAAGGAAATCTCGGCAATGATGATATGCCCATCTCAAGGCCCATCCATTCTCAGTAAGGAATATTCGGCAGAACAAGTATCTCTAATTACGTAAGCAGGTGTGGTAGGAACGGATCTATATTCCTGAAGAGATAGGAAATGGTGAAGAAGCCATACATCGCACATTAGGTTAAAAGTAATGAGGAAGGTTATCAGATACGCTTCAATGTCAAGATGAATGTACATCCATGTACATATTGAAAAATCAAAAATCAAATTCTTGAAGGAAAGAACCTAAAGTTGAATTGAATTGGTGCTTTACAACATTCTGCACATCCCATTTTACTTTTGGCAATTACTTTTGTACTTATTTCTAGAGAAGGTTGCATCATGGAAAGGTAACACCTAACAACACGAGATCATGTTGCTTTCATAACAAGGTATAACTTATTATATTAGACACAGTATGCTTAACAGAGATATTTAATAGAGACCAAGATAAACAAAATGGGCCAATCTATGGAAGGTAGACATAAACAAATAAAAAATGGCAGCAAGAATGGTCACAATAAGAAGCATCTTTTATAGAACAAATAAGCTCTGCTGGTAAATAAATGCAAAAAATAGTGTAGTTTTTAGTTATTATCAATACCACATGTTATTAACAAATTTAGAATGATTTATTTAAAGTGATCAACTAGGAGTTAAACAAATTCAAGTCGTTATCTGTAAAGTTGAGTTATCGACCTTCTACAAAATCAGTTGGAGGGTCAAATCATAAAAAGGGTCGTATAATTTGTTTTAAAACAACATTTGCTTTCAAAATATTCTGTTAGAATTTCCCAAATTTATGCAATTCCATAAAAATGCCAATAAAACGATTTGAATTACAAAAATATCTTCATTATATTTCTGTTAATTGATGTTAATTGATGTTAACTGAAAAATGGCACTAAAAATATCAATAAAAATACATAATAAACATAAATATAATAAAAGTTTTAAATGATTTATTGTAACTATGCACATTATTTCTTTGGCTAAAGTTACTATATTAGACGAAAGCGTAAAAATATAATTATTTTGGACATTGATAAATAACATTTAAGGTTTTGTGCCAAAACTTCTTTATGTAGATGATTTAAATATTTATCTTTTTTGTTCAACTCTGCTTCAAACAGTATTTATTTTCTACTTTATTCGTATAAATCCTTCTCTTTACAAATTTTGAAATAATAATTCCGATACTTGTTAAAAATAATGTAACGTGCATATTAGCTAATCTATAAATAATATTCGAGGCACGCTAGTACTTAAACATAGTATCGTCTTTGTAGACGACTAAAACGAGATGAATTGCACTGAACCGTGCCAAAATTAAGAGGCTAATTAAAAGAACTTGATTTCTTATTTTTTCTCCTTAGCAAAAATACGATTTTACCGTGTTGGCAAAGGGGCTCCTGGCAGCCGTGCCGTCCGATAAGTACACTTGGGTTGCTTCAAGGGCCAATTGGCCCCAAACATCTTGTCCATCCATATAAGAAAATCACCGATTAACACTACAAACAAGTTGCGAGGATAAAATGTTGGTTTTCGTCGATTTTTTTCACCGCAAATCATATGCGTTCGTTAGAAATTCACAGGGAAACCTTAGAGTCTAAATAGATTGTACTTAAAATAACTCGAATAGCGCCGCGGTTCGACTCGGCGTAAACGAATTTTGTGCGGGAAATCTAAATTTTAAATCGCACTTACCGTTTTCTTGTTTTTCCGAAAACTGCCATCCGTTTCGTCTCTTACAAACGCCGAACTGATGTCTAAATTACCCCATGAATCCATACTTAGTAAATTAAAGATTTATGTAGGATGTATGTTTCAACCAACTGCTTGTATTGTCACACAATTGAGGAGAAATAATACAATAGTGTATAATTTTTGAAAATAGTAATCAGCGCCCAGATTTGGCGACAACCGCTCAACATTCCATCAACTTACTTGCCAAATGCGAGGCGAAACCGAAAAAAAGATTTTACTTGATAAATTAAGTATTAGTCATCGTACTGTTTTGTAAGAACACTTCTGTGCTCGTTGCAAGATTTGACTGCACTGATCTTAGACGATTGTCCTCTACGACAAACGTTTCCATACTGTTTATGCAGCCGCGTCCGGTTTTACTATTGATCGGCTAAGTTTAGAATCTATAATAGATCAAAATCTATGGATTGGACGACAGGAATGTACCCGTTTTAACGAGATGATAAACGATACATGTTGAAAATAGAAAATTAATCACATTTCTTATTGTTCTTGATTGATTAATAATAAATTTCTATTTTAGATATGATATATAAACAAATCAATCAAAGGAGATGATATTTTGAAGAACCACAAAAATATTATTCTACATCTTATTTGATTGATAATAATTTATTGATAAATATCTGTTATTTTATTCAATTATGTTACATTAATCTATTATTTCAACATCTTTAATCATTCAACAATAAAATGTTGATGTTAGACTGTTATTAGAATAAGAAATGCAAGAAAATTTTAAGGAAATCTAAAATTTTAAGAATCTTACCGCTTTCATGTTTTGTCAAAACTTTGTGTTTCACAAACGTCAAATTAATCACAAATTTATCTTAATTTTCCGAAGAATTTAGCACTCATTTTCAAAAGACCAATGTATGATGTGTCTTACAACCAACTTCATATTGTCAGACAATTGAAAAGGAACAATACAATGGTGGATCCATGAAAATAGTCATCAGCCCCCAGATTTGGCTACAACTGCTTAACATTTCATCAATTTTACTTGCCAAATAAACTGCAGATTCACGATCTGAATTATTTCAGTGTTTGGTTGTCTACTTTTTATAATTAAAATTAAATAAATTAACAGGAGTACAAATAAGTTTCCGCCGTTTTCCTTCAAAAATTAGGAATGTATTGTGAAATACCTTTTATTTAATGCATCACTGGCCATTACTTTTTCCCATCTTTCTGGCACCATTCGGATACCACGTCGGAGGAACTCTTCATTTTTTGTGGCTATCCACGAATCGACCCAATTTTTAGATTCTTCATATGATGTAAAGCGCTGCTTAGATAGGCCAAGTGCTGACAACTTTTCTCACTTAAAGCAATCGATGCACCTCACCTGCAGATTTCTTCAAATTGAAGAAGTATATTAACCCTGTCACTAATTAGTACTTCAAGGTTAATTTGTTACCATTTGTCCAAACTTACAACAATTTCAACATAATTTTCTGGTTAAGCTTTCTTTTGTCAAACGTACTCCTAATATTTGAATGATACCACGTGTTTCGTTCATTTCCTACTATAATTGTTTAAAATTTCAATAAAACAGAAAACTTCTTTCTTGTTCTTTAACAAAAATTGCTCAATTAATGAGCAAGAAAGAAGTTTTCTGTTTTATTGAAATTTTATTTCGATTATATCTTGCAACATCGATTTTACCAAAAAACAATTGTTTAAGTTGCATCAACTATCTTGACTAATCAGAAATAGACATTTTTAACTAATTGTAAGTGATTCAAAAAGTTTTGAGCAATCAAAGAAATGCTCCATATAGCTCTATGATGCATCTGAGTCATCCATTATGAGTTCAATCACAAATATAACTTCTGCAATAAAATAGCAAATGATTGATGGAAATATTATCGCAATTTCTAGAATTCGTTAAGAGATGTGATTAGTTGAAGGATGTTAATAAATATCTGTAATTCCCAATTACACTTTGCTTGTCATTTCGTTATCATTATCACTTCTAACATTTAGATTTAACCAAAAATGCAACATATACAGGGTATATGTACATATACATTTTGATTTTCTAGAACAATAACTAGAACAACCCAGAACAACAAAGAAAATTTGATTTTTCCAGAAATGGGTGGCTAGTCAAAAAACCCGTTTTTTCGGTTTTTCTCTCCGAGGTTTTTTTTTCTATTTGCCGCTCTGGCACAATGTAGAACAACTCTAGAACAATCTAGAACAACAATGAAAAATTTAAGAATAAAAAAATGGGGGCTAACTTAATCCACACGTTCGTTACTGCAACCATTTTTCCTCAAATTGCCATAAAACTGCATTGTAACTAATGTTCTCCAATCCATAGCACTGCACTATAAATATTTCATGTTTTAATGTAAACATTATCAATTAATATTTGACAATAGGATAAGTTAAGCTATCAAATGATAATTGTTAGTTCACTCAGATCATTTGTTTTTATTGTAAAACGGAATATTAGAAAAAAACTCAAAGAAAAACTAATTTTTTTCTTTTATATGCTAAATTAATAAAATTCGGCATATCGGTATAATTTAACATAAACATTTTATCTTAATCAACTTTTGTTGTACAGGGTGGGCAAATTTGGGTGTTATTATAGGCTATCTCAGAAACTATAAGAGATACGAAAAAAGTAGGTGCCATGTCCCGGTCTCTTTTTTCGAGACTAACCCAATCCCGCAAACACCAAACCTCTATCTTCTTTTGTTTTTAAGTTATAGCCAAAAAGTCAAATTTTCGTGATTTTAAAAAATGCTCATATTTCGTTTATTTTTGAAATTAGAGAAATGAGGTTGATACGTCCTTAAGACACTTTTTTAAGTAGAATATACTGCCGTTAAAAAATTTTAAAAATATATGATGATTTTTGAGATACAACACAAAGTTGTATTTTTTTAAATGCAAACTATAGTAGATTATGGTGTTACCGAAAAGAGCATATTTTTAGCTTTCCAATGATTTATTGCACGCATGGTGTATTTGGGGAAAATAAGCGTTATTTTTTAATAAGCCCTTTGAAAGTTTTTTTAAAAAAACGCTATTTTCTCGTAATTTTTATTATCAAACCCCAATATTTATTAACACAATCGTAAACTAGAATGTGTCAGCTTTAATTTAAGATATAAATCGTCTCTTTTGCGCCAAAAATAACGAAGATATGATTATTGAAAGTTTTTGATGTTTTTAAAAAATCGATCATAACTTGACTGAAAGTTTTTTTTAAACGCCATTTTTTCATAATTTTTATTATCAAACCCCAATATTTATTAACACAATCGTAAACTAGAATGTTTCAGCTCGCAAACAATCAAAAATACAACTTTGTGCTGTATCTCAAAAATCATCAAATATTTTTAAAATTTTTCAACGTCAGTATATTCTACTTAAAAAAGTGCCTTAAGAACGTATCAACCCCATTTCTCTAATTTCAAAAATAAACGAAATATGAGCATTTTCTGAAATCACGAAAATTTGACTTTTTGGCTATAACTTAAAAACAAAAGAAGATAGAGGTTTGGTGTTTGCGGGATTGGGTTTGTCTCGAAAAAAGAGACCGGGACATGGCACCTACTTTTTTCGTATCTCTTATAGTTTCTGAGATAGCCTATAATAACACCCAAATTTGCCCACCCTGTACATTGCTCAGAAAGACCACTTTACCTGCAACGGTTAACAAACTTTTTGCGTTAACTTTGGTACTTTGAGGATATTTGACGTAAAACTTGATTATTCAGACTTTAATTGCAAAAGATGGAATTTGAATTCAAAAATGTATCGTCAATTATACCTTACGGGGACAAAATCCGGGGACACACTGTATACGGTGCCATTTAAAAAATTGCTCGTGACCTTCATATAACCTTGAAAATAAGGCCAAGGGCAAAAAATGTTATATTCTATACTCCCAAGCTGGTTTTAGTAACTAAGTTTGATAAATGTGTTATTAACCGAATGGAGGATTCTTGACAACAATTAAGAAAGTGATTTTTAAAGATAATAAAAGCTATGAAATGTGTAAATTAATTTTTTTTTAATCTGTGAAATGATTTTATTATAAAACAGATTACTTTATTTAGAATGGAAGTAGTGCTTTTGTCCGTAAGATAGAGTTGTGTTAATAGTGTATATAATATGTTACGTGCGTTGACCGTGTAGCGCCGCTCCGGGGCCGCGTTCGCAATGATTCGTTTCTCCTGTCCGTCATGCGCGCACCGTGCGAGCCCCGGCCTGGGTTGCGCTACTCGCTCCATCTTGAGTAGAATATAGCCTTCGGAACGGTGCGCGTATAATTGTGCGGCGAAAAATCCGATGTTTATAGTTTGAAGTGTACAGAATCGTTTCAAAGAGATGTCTTCGAATAACCAGAAGCTGTCGACCACGCAGCGTATGATACAAGGTCAGTTTGCCGGACGTAATATACGCACAAACGAAATTTTAAGAATTTTGCGATGCCCTCTCCGCCTGACGACTCTATCTATCTTGCCATCCGTTTGTGTGGCACACAGAGAGACCGAGTTACTCTCCTCCTCGTTCGTTCGTTTTCTTCTCTCGCTCGCACGCTCTTTTGCGCATTTCCCCGTACACACTACCACGACTTGGGGATTGATTTTCCTGGCCGCCATCACTATTGATTTCGTGGATATTGTGTGACGAGACGAACGCACAACCACTTTTTTTTCAAAACGTTTACGACGTTTATTTTTGTCGAGCCACTCAGACGACTATGTTTGCTGAAAATTTGCCCTGTTCTATCCTTTTGGATCGACATTGCTATTGAGAGACCGGCCCGACCTCAGCTGCTAATTGCTGCTCCTCCTAGAGTAGTGTCTGTGTGTTCCTGATTTGGCTGCGTCTATTTAAATGTTTACATCACCTTCACGTTCTATACATTGTCTTCATAATTTTCCTTTTTCTACTTTTCTTTAGCTGATTCATTGGACAATAGAATTTATTTTCACCCGCCATGCGGATTTTACTGCAGTAAAATCGATGTTTACCTATACTTTTCTACACAATCTATTTATTTTTTTTTTCCAAGAAACTAAAATATTCAAAAACCAATTGTATTCTAATAAAAGATTATTTATTCATACATTACGCGTTAGTTTTACTTATTCTTATGGAAATTTTTGGAACATTTTTTCCAACCGACCTGTTGGATTGTTGTTCATAACATGATTACTGGAACTTATTTTTGACGCAAGTTACTTCATTATAACACCAAAACATACTTTTCTAAATAAACCTTAATATAAACATACAGTGATTCGTTGCAATATATTTTTTTAAATTTCTGATTAAAATTTTATTGCCACATAATATTATAAAATTTTATATCTCCAGCAATAAGTTTTATGTTGTCGTTTCACCATAACTGACATAAAACTTTACTTTAAAATCTATAAAGTGAAATTCAGGTGTTATGGTTTAATGCGATATGGATTCTCGTACATCCTTGTGAACATAAATGTTTTATGACATTAAGGTGTGTGATGGAATAATAGAATTTTTTTAAATATTCTAGAATATTCTAGTGTATTATAGATTTCCGAATATAATTAATAATGACATTAATTTTTTATTAGATTTACAGAATGATTAAGTGATAATTCGTAATTTAGTAATCTAGTTTCTTTTAAATATGTTAAATGCTTTAATTTAATCTAACATTTATACCTTACTACTAACCTTTACAACTGAAAAAAGTGATATTAAAATATTTGTTTTAATAAATGATTAATGGGTGTAGTTAAAAGATATCAAGTCAAGATTCGACGTCACTTTTATACGAAAGGGGATAATTCTGGCAGTTACTGGTTTTAGTCCTCGTGAAAGGAGATTACTTGGTTTTTGACGATCCAAGAAGATATCGTTATTCTGATTGGAGCTCTTTGCTGCTTTTATCTGTTTTTTCATTTCATCTACTCAATTCAAGCGTTCAGTGGATCGAACCCATTATCTTTATGTGTATCAAAATCTATATAGCTTAACATAAGTTGGCGAATACCAACCAGGAAAATGATCACTTTGTAAGCAGCCACAAATACTCGATACAGTCTTTAATGGACCTAAAATATATGATGTGTGGGAGAAAATTAGAATAAGGCTGTCAAATGGAAAATCTAAATCTTTTTGTAAAAGAAGTATGTGAGTTACAGAATGAGGTAAGAATGGCCCAAAGAACTGCGGACAGAAGAAATTTTTATATTAAGGTTGTTCAACGCATATTATTATGTTAACTACACTCGTGGAGGAATTTTATTATTTAACTTGTATACCTCAACTTCACAATGATCGTGTAAGGTGCGACTATGTATATGATCTTTCTGCCAATTTGTATTATAAATTAATAGGTGAAAAAATTATACCACCTACATAGTCAGTTTTTAATCTTCTCAGTTATCTACCAACTTAAATAGATTCCGAGCGCAAAAAGCTTTCTATGCGAGGAAACTTGAACTAAGGGAGTACGTTGAGCCTTAACACTCACAACTTATAACAACCTTTCTGCAACAAAGCGTTTTTTACCCATAAAAGTTTGCCTCGTTTGCTAAGCCAATGGTGTACCACGGGAAGATTAGATTGTTTTAAGTGCGAGAAGATATGGGTACTATAGTACATATAGTAGTGTTGCATCTGGCTTACTTGAATTTTTTGGCTGAATATTACAACGATGGGCAGAAATAACATTACGTCAACACCCATTGGAAATGGATGATCAAACTTTTATCATCTGGTTGAACAACGCCAGGTTCAATTTACACCGATATTGGGTTTTGCTCTAGTTTTAGAGGTTGCCAAATTTATTGAACGTCTCATGATTTTGCTACAGTACTTGTTTTTATTTTTAAATTGGTTCGCAATTTTTTAACGTTCAGTCTTAACAAATTTTAATATATTTAAAATAGTCATAATTTCTGTGAAGTTTTCTATAGTATCAATAAACCAACCCATCTATAACCCTAGTGCTTCATAGTTCGTCTTCAATTATTGAAAATAACAAAAACAAATAACTTATCATAAAAAAAGTTGGTACACTTCCACGGGAAAGCTCACCAACCAAAAAAGATAGAAATCATTGACAATAAAGATATCAGAATAGTATATGAAAATAAAATAAAGCTGTAACTTAATTAAGTCGCTTAAAATTAATTAAGTTGGTGTTCAAATTATGTTAAAATATTTTTAATATTAGATTTTTTATTCTACCTACATCCGTCGTGAGCTGTGACATTCCCAGGCATCTTATATTGCTATAAAGAAAAGAAGCATAACAAGTTTGGAACTTTCTGCCAGATATTATGCTGCCAACGCACCCACACGGGCAACTGACTAACACGCGGTTCTCGATTGAGTTATATTTGTGATTGTTATTTTAAGCGAACGCTCTCGCAGGAACTCTTTCTTTTTAAATCAACGATTGGTTGTCTACGACTTGACATTTCGCCTTATGATTCGCTATTGCCAATTCGGTTCTTCCGCCTTCTTTATGTATTTTTTTTTAATTCGTTAAAAGCTAATTGACTGATTAATTAGTGTATTAATAAAGCATATCAAATTTAATAAACTTTGTTTTTAATCATAATGTTCTGAATTATGTAAACTTTATCGGAATACCGCGTACTCCATCAAAACATCTAATTATGTATCATGGATAAGGATTTGTAATAGGTTCTCGAGAGCTTAAAATAATCAGTCTCGGGGTCTCACTTCACAGACAATTAGCCGATAAATTTCCATTGACCTGCCCAACTCGTAACGGTCTAGAAACCGCGAAACGTAGACGCAAATTTAGGTACAGGTTATTATTAGTTTAATGTTTACAAAATGTTGTGTATGTAGGCACGGTTACTTATGCTTTGACTGCTGTCGTCACAGATAAGCGGATCCCATGTGGATCCGCGCGATCACGTGTTTTATGCTTACAAAATATAACAATAATTAAAGTTGAACTTTACATTTATCGTACTTACATACACATTTCAACATAAAATACGTTTTTTTAACTGTTTCGTACTAATCTATTACATTATATCTAATAGATTTCAGACTAGGAAATGGTTAATTTTGTGGAATGGTTTATCAAAACTTCGCTTATCAGCTTTTGAGGTCAAAATATATAACAAACTCATAAATTTAAATAACGGTTTATATTTACCGTTTGTTGACATGATGTTGTACTCTATAAATAATAGAAATAAAATATAAACATTAATTTATTCATCCAATAATACTAAATATTATTTAATTACTATGACAGTTCATAAGAGACGTATCGAATAGAATACAATTTGTCATGTTGGGTGTAGAGTAATACAATTCAAGCGAGTTAGTTTGAAATTCAATTAACAAGTTATGCTTAGAGGTATTAACGTAATTACAAACTTGGGCTTATAACTATATGTTGTCCGGTGTATTCGGTTAAAATTAAAACATTTAAAAATGTTGTTGAAAAAGAGTTCAATTAGAATGCCATTACACTTATAAATTAATAATTTATTTTACATCATTTAAGCCACGAGAATCGTAGTTTCATCATAGTTTCGTTATTTACGAAAATTTGATTTAAACACGTTCTATGTTATTCAATTTCTAAACTTGTTTTGGTTGGCAAACAAACTTCTAACTATAATAAGCGACGTAAATAACTACAATAAATTAAAAGCTTTTGTATATGTATATTTCTAGCTCCTTTTTTACACGTTAAATTTTAAAACTTTTCGTTTCATATTTTGTTTTTAATTTAAATTGTCTTTTGTTCCTTAATTACAACATACGTTCGTACTTAGGCTTTTTTAATTTTAAACTAGTACAGAAACGTGAGAAAGAGTATAATAACCACTAATGTCTCGTAATAACTACTTGGAAAAGGGAATTTCAGGGTTTAAGTGCGGAACAATTTCAAGTTGGTTCCAACATGATCATTAATGTTTCATAATTAGCTAAAACGTTTTCAGTTCTCTTATAACGTTTTTAAAGTCATCATGAAGTAGGCTTATTTGTTATTTGCTGGGATTTTTCCGTTATATTGACTTACTACTAATTATTATGGGTTCGTGCGATATAACAATACTTTCTTTTTTATTTATTTTATTCGAATTAATTATAGAATAGTAGTGTCATCATATCTCGTAGGTCTCGTAAGCAAAGTGCATAGCAAAATACCCTAGAATAATAGTTTATGTATTCTAAGTGTAAAATTAATTATATATATGCAATAACTTGCAGAGAATGAGCTACTTAATTTTTAGCAACTGTTAGATACTGTATAAATAATCAAAAATTAATAAATTAGACTCAGGGTTGCCTCTGAAAGCGATTTGCGCAGCACATCATAGTATTAGTCATAGTATTCCTGAGAATGTTTCTGTACATGTTTCAGAAGATCATTTCACAGTTGTCTTGTAAGAGTCATTCTTCGTAATAGAATTAACCTAGGCGAATATTTTGACTTTCAACCTTTTGCCAACTTCATGAATTAAACCTATTGGCTTTGTACTTACTTCGATGGACTAATCGTTTCCAGCTTAGTCGCTTACACTGAGAGCGCATTTTTTACCTATAGAATAAGCCCAAACAACATGTTGGAGACTTCTCAGAGCAACATGCAGTCATCTTCTCAGTAATCTTATAAGCAAATGAAGCAGAAATAAGCAGACCTAAGTATGTTACAGTATTCTAATATCATTCGATTCTCCTAGCATCAAAGAGTTGGTAGCAATAACAGATAATATGTGCTGTTCTATGGTATATATACTAGTTTAGTGCACATCTCGTAATCCACTCTCTCGATATTGACCAGTCTTCAATTGAAATACATAATCAGGCTTTTTTACTTGGACATTATTCTAGCATTGATATATTTTAGTGACAAATTATCAAGTTATTCCGAATACTTTAACAGTTATTTTTTGTCCTTGGTACAAACTCCAGAATTTTAGAGCTCATTTGCTTGTTGTGTGTATTCTAAAGCGTTAATATTTTCAATTTAACGTATTACCAGGGATGGGGATATCAACAATAGGATGGAATTTGTTCAGATACGAATAGGTTTCTTTAAATTTACATTGTAACATTTAGCTTTTGCAAAAAATTTAATTTCCATAACACCAATAGAGTGTTACATGTTATAAATCTACCATTATAGTTAATTCTTGTCCATTTGATTCCAATTGCATGTTTATTTCAATTGCTTTCCTTTGTCAAATAATTTCATTTTTATACTACCCCACCCCTCCTCATTATATACAATTTTATAAAAAGGGTTGTCTGCGTTCAATTTAGCTAAACGACCGATATCTTCTCTTCCATGAATCGGTCATATATTTAATTTATTACTGACAACATTAATTTAGATAGACAATCAATATTACGTTTAACTTGTTGGTTATGACCACTTCTAAAAGCTTGTTCATCAACGAAATTTATATTTCTTTATGAAGGCCGACTTTTTTAATAAAACTCTTGTCGTCTTTTTAATTTGTCTGCAAGGTTAAGAAAGAGCGGGACTAAATGGCTGAATTGGCCCCAAGCGTTAAATGAGAGGGATGACTAGGTTTATTAAAAAAATTAACAATGTAGAAGTTTCTATGGTTATTCAGAACATGTGAGAGAGTATCTTTTTAAGTAGAACAATAATGGTTTTTCCAATATTTTTTTAAACGTCACTCCTTATTTCATTTTTAACCAACAAGTAAGATAAGCCTATAATTTAAATATAATCATATATCTCAACAAATTTTACGCCTTACATTGTGAGTAATAAATAAAAACGCAGTTGGAATATGATTAAATATTCTGGTATTACCACAAACTAACACGACATACATTACATTACATACATACATAAGCATTTTAATAAATACGTGTACAAAGTTCAGAAGAAATAATATTTTTTTATCTTTAAACGAATATTTTAAACGAAGTTATTGATAAAATAAATTGTTTCTTACTTATTTAACGGATATAGAAACACTATTTAGGAAAAAGTCCCATTACAGCAAATCCCCGCTAATCCGGAACAATAAAAGATAGCTCGATAAGGATTAGTGAAACATCCGGGTTACTTGAACAATATTATAGTATTAAACAGAGGTATAATAAACGATGATTTTCTTCTCAACTTCACTAAACAATAAAATAAAATTAAATAGATTTAACCATAAACTGTGTCAAAATATTATGTAAATCTTGCATAAAGATATAATTATAGTTGTGGACATCAGCCTTAACCGTCGGAAACGATTACATCGTCTCGGACAGATCACCATTAATAACGACTTGTTGATAGCACGTTATCTAACTTCTTAATAATTCAGAAGCATCATCACTCAATCACATAACGTGGTGTATAACACATCATTAGGTGATTTTCGTAAAATCCAAAAGACACAAATCAAGTCGAATCCATCTCAGTAATAAAATCATCAATAACACAAGCTCTATTAGAGACAAATTAAGATTTTCATCCAAATTGTCGTTACTAGTTTTTGACGAGCCTTTCTTCCAATTAAGGAAGTATTAATTATATGTCGAATACACATTACAATGGGTTTGTTTTGTGTTTCAAGAGTGCTTATGCAAAATTTTAACTGCATTTATCAACCATTGAGCGAGATACATATTTATTAAAGCTATAGCGCTTTAAAGACACTCAGATCATATAAAATGTTAGATAAGATCAACAACAACGCTGTATATTGTAGAATGTGTTGCGAATAAAAAAAGGTTTCAAGTGATTGTTATAGTGTCATATTTGTATATTGATTTATTGCTGTTCTCGTAAAGTATGAACTCCAGAGTATACTCACAAGGTACCGTGGTTATACAGTTTAGTGAATAGCAGTTGGCAGACATCCTTGGAACCCACAACACCCAGAACACATACACCATGTCGGCGGAGTTCGAAAATATGGGCACTACAGCGGGTATTACCCCTACAGCAAGGCAGAATAGGTTGGCAAGGAGCGCGAAATAAACCATTTGGCCAATCCAGCGAGACCTCACACATCAGGGCGTCTCAGTGTAAATATTTTATGACTTATCTTTATTCCCACTGCGACGATAGGGTCGTTAAATTTTAAGTCAGATACCAGTTTTTTGAACCTTTTTAATTAATTTGGAGCTAGCTTATTGGTAATATTTCATTTTGTAATAACCCCTAATCAGTGGATTGACGTCATGAACCTAACGGTAGCAATCAACACTGTAATCAATATGAAATGGGACATTTTTAATAAAAATCGAAAAAGTTTTAATCAAGTACTGCGACACGCCGTATTTAACTAAAATAACCTGTTGAAATCCTTTGTCTAAAATTGATATACGTATAAAAATATTAAGGGCAGAATTTAGTTGATTTAGTTACACTTATTTTGCTCGCTGATATACCTGGTAGGCTAACTTAGTTTTCGTATGCCGATTTACATAGTACATGTTAGAGGAATATATCGATCGGGGCCGGCACCGAGTTAATTATATTGGCAGGTAGCTGAACGAAATATTTGTTTAATATATTAGGAGCAAAATTAAAAGGGAATTTATCATGTCGATTGTTAGTATTTATTCGATTTATTCGTTTTTGCATATTATGACTGCCTTTTTACAGGAGTGGCAAAATTCTGATTGTTCATTAATGTTTCAAATTAAAACAACTCATGGTGGAAACAAATCAATAAACGTCCAGTCTCTTGATGGCTTGAATATTGATATCAAAGAACGATTTCAAATGGGAAATTGTGATGCCAAGCACATATATAAAAATAATCTACTTCAAATAGCTCTCATTAAAAATTGATGAAAAAAATGAAAGAACAGAAATATTACACAGTTACAGGTACAAAATTATAATGTCAGCGTAGACAATAACGTGCATAATTTACAATATATGCAAATTCTTGTGAGTGAACGAAACGGGAAGGGAGCGATGTAATAAATTTCAGAGGTAAGATATGAGTGATCGATCGTCTTGTAAAGAATTATTAAACCTAAGGTATTACGGCGATGCTACAAGGATCTCCACCCAAAGATTGTACATTGCTGAGCGTAACCACACTATGGTAGGAATACTTATACGTAAAATTCCGCACGAATTTCTGTTGCGCCAACTCAATACGATCAATAAATTTATATCGACTCCAGACTCGATTTATTTGAACCATTAAGTTATCCCTTCGAATAAATGTCACCGTTACTGCCTCCTCATCACTCACTCATATTTGATAACTTTAAGAAATACTCTGAAAAATAGGAATCCACCCCATCCTTGGTCAATGCATTTAAAAAACTTTCAAATTTTGCAACAAAGATATTCTTCTCAAGAATTTTTTGAGATTTCACAATTGATTTGATTATAAGTATTATGGATCATCTCTATAAGATTAAGTTATCAGTTTATCAAATTTATCACATATTGTCAATACATTTCGTCTGTTTTATTTAAGATAAAAAATATTATATAATGAAACCTATCTAATAATGAATAACGCAAAGCTATTATTATTCCGACTATCTTTACGTATTACGTATTAACTAAGGTAGTATAGTTTATATTTCAGGTTGTTGTTAAAATGATTGATCTGATTGATTGATAGACAGTCTCAATGTGGTGTACTAAAAATAAAGTTAATTGTTGATCCGAACCAGATTTAATATTATTAATATTTATTGAGAAATGCTAAAAAATTCTAATCTTTTTGATTTGCTCGCGAAAAAGAAATCATAAATTATGATTTGTAGTCTTAAATTTGATATGGTTTTTGTAAATACCTCGTAAACGTCAGTTAACAGTGTTGCGGCGAATTAAAAAGTTGTTTCACGGTTTTCGATTTGTTTGATTCAAGATGTTTTGGTGGTGTTAAAAGAAACAAATAATTCCATACATTGTAGTAAGTCTGAATGAAGAAACCACCTTAAAATTAATGCGTCACAATTTAGCATGGAAAATAAATTGGAATCATTTATTCGACGGTTTTGGCAAGAGAATGTGATCATTTGTTCTGGTTTTAGTACAACGCGAAATGGGCTGCACCATAGTTTTGTTTTCCGGCAAGGTTTATTTTATAACTGCATTATTTGGCATAATTTAACTTATTTCGCTAACGATGATTGCAGTCAATTTGGATAAATCCACCTGGCAATATTTATTAATATTAAAAACGTGTAATCTTACTAACAATCAATAATACGATATTAACAATACGTAGTGTATACGATTAAAAATCATTTTGGGCTTCTAAAAGTCGATAAACGAGTCTTAATTTTCTTGTTACTGAACGAATACTGCGCCTGACTTGTATAATCCTAGAAAAGAAAAATTTGGTCGTGTTACGATATAAATTTAATGTTTGTTTAAAAAAAATTATACAGAAAATATATTATTTGTAAAAACTAAGTAAAATAAAAAGGAACAGCATAACATAGAAGCTATGGTAAATTTTATGAAGTAAGCGGATTTGGTAATGTAGACATACTTGGCTTTTTCAAGTAATTTCTTTATACGCATTTGAACATCGTATGCGTCACCAATTGAAATCATTGCACTCGTATTCAACAATTTTGCTTCTTTAATAGTTTCTTTACACATCGGACATTCCACTTTGCCTCTTTTTAAAATGTACTCGAAATATTTAATGATACACGAAGCACAGTATGCATGACCACAACTGATTCTTACAGGAATCATTAATTCGCTCAAACAGATTGGACAAACGTCAGAATTGTAGACTTTAGTTCTTTGTAATTTACGTTTATTGTCACTGTTTGTTTTCAATTTTACGAGCAGCAAACAAATTATGATGCAGTAGGTTATAAAAGCTGCCACGTACATACAATCACTTAAATTCAATGGGGTTGTATGTAAATCTAAAATAATTTCAGTTCTCCATCGTTTAATTTCGGATATTAATTGTTGAGAAAATGTATCTTTACTTGTTTCTTTGATCATTCTTTGTTCACTTTATAAATCTTGATTTCTTTTTTCCAATAGAATAATTGATGTATAATTATAATTGTATATTATTATGACAAATTTATTTTTGACGTTGTTATGAAAATTGAACTGTATAATTTAATTTATAAATTTATGACATTTCATGTGAATAGCCCATGGAGTGTTCCTGATCCTCGCTGATTTACATACTCACTGGGAATCACTGGAACTCGGGGACCGTTAAATGCAGAATTTTGGCTGTAAATTCAAGCTTTTTGCCCACCCGCTGGCAAAGTTCAATGTGCATCAATTCCTTATAAAAATTGGATCCTTAATTTATTATTTTAAAAGGAAATTTCAAATCTTTTTTTGCTTGTTTATTATAAAAGAAGCATCCTCAAGAGGCAACTGCCAAACGCAATCTCGTTATTTCATTCAACCTGCCAATATCAGAATCGTCGTTGTGGCTGTCGATGAAAAAAGTCGTAAACGTCACTATAAACGTGAATATTTATGGCTTTCTCAGATTGAACTCATTTTCGCAGAATTTTATTTATCATATATAGGTATTTGGAAATAATGTTTATAGATTTTTTTGTGGTTAAATCACTCATCAATTCGAAATGTTAAAATCTTATGCGAAAAGGAAATGTGCATCAATGTAATATCCTTTTTAATTGTTTTTTAAAGGCCACTATGTAGTCTTATAATAGAAAGTAGAGTTTGAACGCAATCATGTAAGTTGTCTAAATGTTTATGGTGAATGATTGATTTAATTTGTGGTTAGAAATTAAAATTAATGGTTGTTGTGGAACTAAAAATTATTGTTTCCCTACATTGTATGTTTCGACATGACAAGTCCGTCTCCAAGTAGCCTTTGTAGTTATAATGGGAGTTTTCTTGATAGGGATATTAAAGTTTGAGTTTATATGGCAACACAAAAGTCAAATAATCAAATCTTCTGGTTTACAAGGAGCGGAATTCATTTCTGTAATCCTATTTTCAACATAGGTTTAACTTCAATTCGGCTTTCCCTAAGCTAAGAATCCGTACTAATTTGGGTAATCCTACTTTAAAGCAACAGCTTAAATAAATTTTCAACCTCTGAACTAAGAATTGGCAGAATTTTAACTTCACACAACGGCTCATCTTAGGTTTCTGCAACATGCAATTTTTTTAATCGAGTTTTGAAAGTTATCGATTTTGATCTAGTTCTGTTATTAATATATCGAGTTATTCCTTCACTATCTGACTTGCACTTGTTACAACTTGTTTCTTGATGTGACCCCATAATAATAAGGTGCATAAGTCAATGTATGTTTTGAGGGTAATTTTGTTCCATTGTATCGGAAGTGCTTTTTAATCCAAGATCCCCATATACTTATAACTAGTCTCTTAGCGTATCGTTTTTGCAAATGCATGTTATCAATGAAATACAATAAAGAATTGTAATCAGCTTCTGATAGTTTATTGCATAATTTTGCTGTTAGTCTGTAAGATTGGCTGCAAACGTTACAAGGTCACTTACGTTATAAATTCTTCATATTGGTTTATGAAAAACGCGCCTAAGGCATTTTAGTAAGACATCAGGAAAAGATCATCATCTTTATTTCTAAAAGATGAAGTAATTTTTATCTAACCTTTATAGCTTATTTTATCTGTTATAATCATTAATTTACGTTTGTTTTTATTGCGTGACTAATTGTTATGATTCGTTTACCACATAAAAGTGTTAAATATATTTGATGATATTACGATATGTATTATTTTCGTATCCTGTTGATAACCCATAGATAATATAGCCCCTGCGATACAATCAATGTCCTATAAGAATCTGTTAATTAAGTGCGGTAATATCGTTGTTATCGCGAATTTGATGTATGTGACAACCATAGGCTTAGGTGGAGCTATATACACTTCAGCAAATCAATACTTTGGGCGATCCCCTTTCGGTCCCAGGAAACCTAAATTAGGCGATGGATATTTCGTGAATGTCAAATTCAACACACGTTGGGTGTACGTGTACATTCTAACCGAGAAATATGTGTCGATAAACTGTCCTAAGCCTGCGCGAATGTCCAACATACGGACATTGGTTTATTTGTAACCGAAACACGATCATCGAATGAATGAAATCGAGCGGAACGTGTGAAAGCACTTTGTGTTTGTGGTTTTAACGATAATCACTCTGGTATTACTTTAGTGTGAGTTTCGTGTCATCATCTCTTGATGTTATAGCACTAACTGATATATCCTAGAAAGATTCCATACATAAAATGTTTGCTAGTTAAAATGATAAAATAAATTAATTAGATTTGAATCAAAACGGTATTGGGACCTGAATCGAAAATAGAACGGTAGCTTTGTATGGGTTAGTTGGATCTCATCTGCATTCGACACTTCTAGATACTGTAAATGTGACGTGAGGTGGGAGTAGAGTGAGAGAGGAGGATTTCGCCAGGACGAAAGCCCCGTGAAATTAAGTTATTCCTCACGTAACAAGGTTACCGATTAGGACAGACGAGACGAAAACTTCTGCTTAGTGTTCTGTAAAATTAAACTGGTAATCTAGATTGAGCCGAAAAATACAAAATCGGACGTATTTTATTGATTTTGATTTAAATCTCTTGTACTAATAGAATTCAAAATTTAAATCTTTTTATTGATATATACATGAGTATATCTTGGAACTATTCCAAATACGACTTTTAAATAGCAATTATAAAGATCATCTTAAAGTGTTTATTTTATGTTTTAATAGATAAACCGTTCGTATATATCGCTTATATATTAAATCAAAAAAAAAAAACATTTTAAGGTTAACTCTAATTTTATTTAAATATACTTATAATAAACAGATATTTAAATTCGACATGACATTTTTACAGCAAACTAAAATAACTTTGGTTTTGATGGCATAATTCACCTTGATATATATCTAACGTCAACGTCTATTCAACAGAAAATGCTCGCACGAAATGCTTACAGGGGTACCAGGAGTTTGGCTCAATCGTTGCGAAAGTTGGAAACTTCGCGCGGCTTGCCAACTGCAATTCGCCGAGTTCGTTTTAACTATCTGCGACACTACGACAGTCCAACAAATGTGAGACTGCTAAAACGACCGAAGCTAGACCAGTTATCCCGCTCTTACAAAACTTTTTAGCTTTTTTCGATGATGAGTTATACCGCTCAGACTAAATTTCTACTGGTTTCAATTTGAAAGTAGTGGAAAATTTTCAATTAGATTAAAATGATTAGATGCAATTAAAAAACTTGAAAAATAAGGAGTTGATCAAATACTTTAAGCAAACAAATTTAACTGATTAAATAGTATTTTGATTAATCTGATAAAAGGTGATATCAATTTATCTGATTTCGGTGATTTTATTCGTTAAAATACACTTTTTCTGTAAATCGTTCCGTATCTCGTGATGAACAAAACTGTAAAAGAAATTGTTAAGAATAAAGTTTGCTACAACTTTTCTTTCTAAAACACTCTGAATCCCGTGATCTAATAACAACAAGAAGTAAAACCACAATTTTGTCCAATTTTCATCTATTCGTTTTTTTCTCAATATTTACACATCTAAAGGTAAAAGTGTAAAAGAACAATATTATTAAAAATTAAGTTTGCTACAACTTTCTTTCTAAAATGTTCCGAAGCCTATGCTCTAAACAAGCTCCAACAACAAGATGTAAAACCACGATTTGATCTAATTTTCACATATTCGACTTTTTCTCGATATTTATACATCTTAGAACAAAACTGTAAAAGAGCAATATTGTTAAGAATAAAGATTGCTACAACTCTTATACTAAAACTTTTTTTCTAAATGTTTCGAATCCTATGCTTATATTACCTAAATTACTCTGTCATTCTAAGTGCTGTATAAAATTAATGAGAAAGAATTGAGATCATTTCCGTATTGGCTACGGATTAAGCTTTCGAATGAGATATAGTTCGTCAAAATTGGATGAGAGGTTCAGAAATTGTGTGAAAACATATTATATAAAATTGGTGGAGGCGACGGTTACATAAAAAATTCTTTGATTTTTAATTTAAGAATACATTAAATTTTTGTTATTACTTAATTAAATAACATATTATTTTTTTATTTTCAGCGGTTCCATTTCCACCGAGTCATAAATTAACTATTGCAGAAGTTTTCGATGCAAGGTCGGGAAAACCACGGCCCGATGTTCTGAAGCAACACTTTATACTAGAAGGTCGAATCGATGAACAGGCGGCGTTACGAATCATCAACGAAGGTGCAGGTCTTTTGCGTGCGGAGAAAACGATGATAGACATAGAAGCACCCGTCACAGGTTTGTATCTATTTTAATGTTTTTCCACTCGTGCATCAACACAATGACATGTATAATGTTATAACGGTGGGATATTCACGTAAACTTTCGGTTCGCTGCCCACTTTCCAGTGCAACCAATACGCCAACATCGGTATACCTCTTTCAACCGCCGGAAGCACTGAAAGCGGACTATTGTTTGATGGTGTCTTTATCGTAGTCCTGTTCGGAGAAACATGACCCATTCTCGTGTTTCACCATTTGTGTATACCACACATGATTCTATATGTCATGTATCAACTATCACTGTGAATGTTATGTTTGCTCAAATGTACAAAACGATGTTATTTTATAGAAACACATAATAATAAAATTTGAATTTATCGTAAACGACCGGTCGAAATCGTAATTATCAAATATAGTACTTATGTTTGTCAATTGGAAGCGGAGAGGAACGGAATCGTGTTAGAAACGCGACCTCTGTGCTAAAAATAAACCAGAATACGTTATAATTAGAGCGGCATTTGCTGTATGTGACCTAATTATAGCGCTCGTTACTCGGAAGTCGTCCTGGCAAACGGTCACCGGGCAATTTCCTGAAATAAATTCGTTTTCTTTCAATTGGGGAAGTTGAAAAAGTTTGCTTGCCCGAGTTTCGTTTCCATTTTAAATATTACCTTCGTAAAGTTCTCTGCTATTATACTCTCCCCTACCTCCAAAGTCTCCGATTGAAACTGCTCGTTTACTACTTGTTGACGGGAAGTTTCTCGCAAATATTTGCGCTGTCGATTGCCTTCGGATCCTCGCTAGTATTCTATAGCTTCTGAAAACTTATATATAATGGGTCATTGTGCTATATATGAAGCCTTCTATTTTTTTGAAGGCATAAGTATCTTTACATTTATTAACATTTTATTATTTTCTTTAAATGTTATCATATTTAATTATTAATTTAATTGTTTAATTTCTTCTCCAATCCTATACATTTTGTTTGTATACTGATCATTGTACCATATTCTCTAACACGATTGACACCAATTCAAGTCAATTGCTTACAATTTATATACAATTCAAACGCATAAAACCACAAACATATTTGATTAACAAACAATTTTATACAATCAATTAGCTGAATTTAATACATACATAAATTAAAATTAAAAAAATTATTATGTGAAATCTTTACTTTTGTGAGAAACTTCATGTTAATATTCTTCGTGACTTGCAGCATAAGCGATCGAACTTTTCAAACTTTGGTATGCATATTTAACCGGACTGGAACTTTGAACTGCCAAACTCTTACATAAAAATGAGGGTCCGCAGTAATTAAAACTAACGCTAGCATAAAGAAACAAGAAGACTGCAATCTGGTGACCGTTTACGGGAAAATTGTGACCCATCGGAGAGTTAGAGGCTGCTGCACTGCGAAATTGTCCGTAAAATCAATACCTCCGTTCCATTTGTGTAAGGTAAAATTTGACTTTATACTTTGAAAGTTAACGATTTAATAAAATTTGTATAGGATGCTTGAAATAGTAATTTGTAAACAATTTGAAACAACTAAACGATCGTTGAAAATTGGCGATCGTTAAAGTGCTGAAACTGTATCGCGTAATTTCTTTTAAACCGGAACGAGTAAATTGCATCCAATTTGGCTTGGTTTCTTTCGTTACTCGCGGAACCTGAGCTCCTCGTCTCTATGCCGATAGTCAGACCACGTACGTGAAATGGGTGTGGGATACCCGATTCCAAAGCAGTCGGGTTCTACCACGAAATGAGTTTCCACTGGGAGTTCGAATTTAGGAGCCGGATGCTCCATATATTGATCTGCCGCAGCGATAAATGTGGTCGCTTCCTTTACAATTTATGAGGAATTGGGGGATGTTTTCTTTTAATTGGGACAGATTTAGGGTGGCAAAATATTAATGGAAGATAAGTCCAGTGAATAACTTTTTGTGAGATTGGGGATTGAAAGATAATATTTTAGTAGGATTTCTTATTTTATTGAATAAAACTTTTTAATGGATACAATACTACCAAATGGATGTAATTCTATACGAAAGATAGTGATCGAATAGAGGCGTGGCGATCTCGATAAAGAGGAGTTGTAAATTCGCCGCAGCACTAAATTGAACTCTTTTATATCGGTTCCATAAAAAGCTTTACTGCTTTATTCCGACCTGAATTATTTATGTGTTTTAATTTACATTTTATGTCCGCGTTTACCCCACGCGAATCGTATTTCGTTCCGGCCTTGCTTCCACCTCTTCCAGAAGGGTCGGGCAATCTCGGTCCGTGTTTGATGTTCTTCGAAAATTGCGGCGGGTTTAAGACATTTTCAAACAGAATATTAAACGATTCTGTTTAAAAACAGACTGCATTGAACTTTTTGATTTTTTTAAAATAATTTATTATTTAAAAGCTTAAATTGATGTATTTTGCTTTCATTGCGTTCCAGTTGTGTGTTTTATACTGTTTATGGTGGACACTCATGTAATTTTGGACGTTATTACCTGCGTTATTATACCGGTCATAGCATCTGTTTTACGAAGCCATAAACCTGTACGTTCTGCTTATACACCGCCCTTTACGTACCACCGTATAACGGTTAATATCGCATCCAGATGGCGCAGGATATTTTCGCCGCGTATTGTATCATCATAGGTATATAACTCCAAATATGACCAACTTGTTTTTCTTTTAGGTCAACGTCCTTTGTTTAATAAATTTTATCGCATCTTTTAAAAGCAAATATTTTAAGTTGAGAAATTAGGTTGTAACGTTTCAGTTGGGGTTTGAAAAATCTCGTATTCCACGCAAAATTAAATTTGTAATTTATGGTGTGATAAAATAAATGTAGTTGGAAATATAAATTTCTTAAGTATCCATTTATGTCAAGTTTAAATTCAGTTAGATTCAAAATTATTCTTAAAGTTAGTTATAATCAAGAATGGTAAAATCTAACAGGATTGCTACATCCGGGGAACAGGTGCACTATTTCAAGGACCGTTCGTGACGACACGCATAGGTAGGCAACTACTATTTCACACTTTGAATTAGGATATGCTTAAGATAGTTTGCTATATTTGTTAGTTTGAGACTGAATAAGGTTTATAAAATAAAATATTGTAGACGGCTAAATCCGAATCATTCTAGTTCTAGGTCTTGTGTTAGTTCTAGTGATAGTGCTAGTGTAAAACTAGATCTAGACCTAGAAACATTCGAGTTTAGCCGTCTTAAGGGACGTACGGCTAAACCCTCTAGTTACTTCTAGTTTTAGTTTAATAAAAATGTACAAGGATCGAACGCTAAATAACAACTAAAACTAGAACTAACACTAGCATTAGAACTAACGCTAAACCCAGAACTAGAATCATCCGGGTTTAGCCGTCTTAAAAGACGCACGGCTAAACCCGAATGATTCTAATTCTAGGTTTAGTGTTAGTTCTAGTTTTAGTTCAATAAAAATATACAACAATCTAACACTAAATAACAACTAAGACTAGAACTAGCACCACCATTAGAACTAACACTAGATCTAGAACTAGAAACATTTAGAAACATTTAAGATTAAATGGAACTATTAACTTTTATTCAACTCCAAGAAAAATTCATTGAAGTTCTTTTAAAATAAAATCACAATAGAACAAAATTGTTCTTTTATTTCAATGTTTAGTAGGTAAGTTTGCGGTTTCATTTATAGCGCAAACTAAACAAACCATATTGTTTCGTTTGTATTTACGAAACAGTACTGAATTAATTGCATAACCAACGTACGAGTCGGGTTAATTATACCTTATTAGAATAGGCGTTGTTTCTCTCTCTCTTTATCCCTATACCTACCGCGTTATTCGCGCGGATAAAACGATTTAAATGCAGTTGTTTAATTACAGTTTGTGACACGTACAATAATAGTTCCACTTTATAAACACACAGAGAGTTCCACGACGACCATTCGATAATTGCACCGGGTCCGGTGTTCCTAATTAAATCGTAAAATAAAATGAGAATACTACGTTAAATATTTGCATTTAAATCGGCGACTGTACGGTATTTACTAGGATGGCACAGACTGTTTTGATGGTACACGTTCATATAGGTGATAAATGCTTTAAACCGATATTGACAATGTGTGCGTTATATATGTATGGATTTTAGATTAGTTTCGATATCAATAAATTTAATTTACTTCAATTATATATATTTTAAATATCTTTAAAATTGCAATCTTTATTTTTAATGTTGAATGCAAAAGTGGATACGGCACATTTATTCCCTTAATGTCACTTAATTAAGCCAAAATAGAACTTTCGCATTTAACGTGAAGCCGGTGCATTTGACATTTTGAGTGATTTTTAACTTTAATCGCTTGCACTAAACGCTTTCCTATTTTGAGCTTTGGAATTGTAGTAAAGCTACAAGTGGGAACGACGTGAAAGGCTTATTAGTAGAACTAATGAACCTACACGCAGTACGCAAAAGATAACATGAGTGTTTACATTTCGTTCTTTGTCGAGTTTACCGCTTCGCTTGTCGACAATGTGGTAATATCATCCGTTATTTTCGCTGACCTACATTCCTAATCTTATTTTGAAAATCTAACATTTACCTTGAACGGAAAGGTGAACAAATGTTTGTATGTTTCTTGGGTTGATGAAGTACCCGCCACGATGCTATTAGATAGATCAATATTGAAATGTTTTTGCATAAGTTTAAGATCGATCGATGAATAACGCTTTGTTTAATCATTGTATAGTTCCTTGAGGTTAATTTTAAAACAAGAACATTAAATAAAATGATCGTATATTTGTAAAAATAGATTATTCTATTGCTTTTCAGATCGTTGAACTTAATCTTTATCCTGGAACTATAAAATTTAAACGTTTGGCGGTCCGAATTTCAACAAACTAATAAACTTATAAATACTACAAACATCTTTTGACGATTTCATACACATGTCATGACTCCATCCTTCACCAAAAACATGTAACCCACTGACATAATTAAAAACAAATGTTTGTT